CCCCCTTTTTGAAAACGAATAATTTAAGATATATTCAATGAGCTTCACATTAGTCAAATGTATCGATGTATCGAACATGATTATGTACGTATTCAAATCACTAACCCAGCCTTAGCATATATTTCTTTAACGTCGATAAACAACCTTAAAAGATTAATTTGCTACAGTATAATATTGTAATATCACTTTATATTTGTGGGAAATATGGCTGTTTACTCTATAGTTCATCGCTTTGTTTTTCCTATGCTACACAAACATACTACGTTATCAGCCCCTTCAAAAAGAAAATGCAAAATAAATAATTTAGTTAAGCTTCAGTGGAGATACAGAGATACTGAAAATGGGTCAGTTAGCTCTGTTTCACAGGTGTCCAAGTGCCTTTATGCTGGTGTTTTTTACACCTCTATTGACACAATTTAGATCATTTGGTCGCTTTTAAGGACAAGCGGGCTAACCTAGATTTCGGGGGTTTCCAGAAATCTTGACCTACACCAAAAGAGGGCATTGCCCTATCTATAGTAGAAGTTTGGTTTCATAGGTGTGTATATTTGTTTGGTTACAGAGAAAACTCTCCTCGTCTTTTAATGAAACTGAACAAAGGGCAAAAACTTTACCTTCGATTTTCTCAAAACAGCATTTTTCGGGATAGCCCACTTGTTCTTAAAAGCGACCATTCAGGACGCAGGCTTCTGACTGTGCCTGTCAAGGCCAGCCTGCGCTACATCACAGACGCTGGAGTCCCAGGGGTAGTGGTTTGGCTCCTCGTTGCTGCTAAAAACAAAAACAAATTGAATTTGATTCCCTAAAAGATAAAGTCTGTTCTTATTGAGTATCACTGTCTTCCTTCTGGGATAACTGTGTTCCACCCGGCAGTATTTGCTCATATGGACAGGGTCGAAGCAGCCCGCCTCCTCAAAAATCTAAATTATTGCGTCAGTGGGGTCAAAAATTGTGCTTCAATCTGTCGTTATTATTTACTATCGATATCATAATTATGCTTCCTTTTCGTTCTTTAGAGCCATAAAAAGGATACAACCAGTCTACATTGTATTCCGAACGTTCTCTGGTTTGCATAATTCATCACTCACGACGTATTATTTTGATTTCCTCAGAACGGTCTGCAAGTGACGAGGCGGAGCGGTCTCTGCATGCATTGGTCAAGCTAGCTTCGAACTGGGAGTGCGTGCCCACCATGTTAGATAGCTTGCTACCCTACATGCGCAACCTGCTCCCGGTGATCGAGCAGCTAGAGGCCCCTGTGGTGGAGAAGTCTATCAACGAGCTCTTCAACCAGCTGCTGCAGGTTCGTTTCTTGTTATGCGAATTTACTGCACTCCTTTACACACACACACACACACACACACACACACACA